AATCCAGCAAAAAATGTGGCAGTCGGTCCCGCGAACCGAGATATTAAGCGTTAAAGTTGACGACTATTGAGGTTAGGAAATCTGTCACACAAACTTAATGCAGCGCTATTACACGTACTTTGGTTATTATTTATTTAGAATCGCCTCATCTCCGATTTTAATGAAATTAGGCTTATTCATTGCGTTTTCACTCAAAATGAAAGCTTATTCTGCTTTAATTGCTACGTGCGAAAAGTTGTAAACTCACGTTGAATCGCTCATGAGTTTACAACTTTCCACGTGAAGCGCGGTTTAACATATAGGTTTCCAAGTTTACACGCAAAACGAGATTTAATAAAAGAAATTGATTTTGGTTTTACGAGAGGAGGAAAGGGAGCGGGAATCCTTCGCACATATATGTGCTTAGTGGTTACGGAGGATTTTGCCTCCTTTTGCGCACAATTTTTTTTTACTGGATCTTTGTTGCGTACAAACTTAGAAACCTCTTGTATGTCCGCACTTTACTGGAAAGTTATAAACCAATGAGCGATGAAAAGGAGATGATCTAAATATCAAACATTAATATATCGATGTAGAAGTGCAAAAAAACGCATGCACATGTAGCCTTAAAGCACGAGAATGTGAGATCACGTGCTTGCATCGCACTGTGACAGATTTCCTAACCTCAATAGTGATCAATTTTAATGCTTAATATCTTCGCGTGGCGAATCGCCACATTTTTCAGCCGGATTCTTTCGTTTTGAGTGAAAACGCATCGAATGAACTAATTTCGTTAAAAAATCGAAAGTGAGATAGCTGTTCTAAATAATTACTTATGCAATACTATACAATACTAACTTTGCTGATGAATTTTGTGAAAATATTTTAATTTTTATTATTGTCAGGAATATTAAATACTATATAGTAACAGAGAGAAGATGATTTCTGAGAAGAGAATAGATAAAAATATACTGTGTATGCAGAGAATGGTTGATGCGCTTGATCATCAAATTGAATCGTGAGGAAGAAAGGAATCTACAATATTATTCTGTGAAATCTGTATGTGCCACATCCATTGTGCAATTAAAGAATATCAGGCTAAATCTCAGCATGTAGCCTCTGCGAAGTATAAACTGAATGTGGATGTTAAACTTGATACTAGTCAATTTTATCTTGATTTGATATCATATGCAGTATCATCAAAAACTGATAAACTTCAAGAATCAATTATTCAATCAGTTTCATCTAGCAGTATTTCAAGTTTTTCCTATGCCTCAGCCGGTTTGACATAGTCTAGTATAAAATGGAATCTATATATATCATAAAAAGAAAAGAAATTGGACCAGAATTATCTCGGATCATAAAATGTGTTTTAAGCAATTTTTCTTCGTTATCATGTGACAGAATTGCAAATTTATTTAGAGCTATATTCAGCACAGGTGTTTTGACACATTTTCACTCAGTAAGAAAAAAATATTTGCAAACTGATTGCTTCGGTCTTTTTGTAAATTAGTAAGTGAAGATGCACAGAAAGACTCATTTGTGATTTGTTATGATAAAACTACTAATTCAAAAGGAATGAAAAAGTTACAAATTTCAATTTTGGTCAGAAATTTTAAATGAAGTAATCTTTTGTCATCTTTAAACATTTTTCTTAGAACATGTTACTGCTGAAATTTTAAAAGACTGTATATTTAATGCTTTAAAAAACAATAATCTTTCTTTGTAAAATGTTAATGTTATTTTGTAACGGCTTCAATATTAACAAATTTGTAATATGCTAACTTAATGTAAGAAAAGAAAATAATAGAATGGGACTGATATCTATGATATAGAAACGTGCAATTTACATATAATCCATAATTCTTTTAACAAGAAAGCATTAGATTCTTTAGAATGTAATGTAAGTTCCTTTTCTATTCATGTCTATAATTAGTTTTATGATTGACCCAATAGATTAGAAGATTTGCAAAAAGGAGGCTTTAAAATGTACAGTTCTAGTAATCTTATCACTGTGAAGAATTTACTTTTGGCTAATGATGTTAGATGTGGAGATTTAACAGAAAATGAACTTTCTTCTCAAGATATTAAAGAAGTTCATATTCTCAATTTTCGAAAATTGCCAAAATGTATTTACTTAAGAAGTCTATTCTAAGTTTATCAATAGCAAAGCATTTTCGTTGTCTTCTTCCTTCAAAAATCAAGAAAGAAGCAGTTCCTAAGTGTAGAGAAAATAGTTAAAATACCTCTAAATCAAATTTCAATAAATAAATTCTTAGACGAATGGAAGATTCTTCAAAAAAAGAATCTTCCTATATGGGACAATAGCTCAATTGATCATTACTAGAGACAAATTTTTGATCGAAAAAACAATTTCATTAAACCAAAATATCCAAACATTCAGAAAATTATAAAGGCTATTTTATCTCTGAAAAATTCCTTTCAATATCAGGACTAGGATAGTCTCAGCCCGTGTTTTGACAGATGACAATCTGAAATGACAGAGAATTCTTAATTAAATATCAAGACTGGTTTGAAGTACTTTAATAGTTAACCTGAAATGGTGCCTATGATCACAGATTTAATAATCTCTACTAGATTTGCACATAGCAAATATAAGGAATATTTAGAAGAAAAAAAAGATCAGAAAAAAAGGAGACAGAAAGATAATGAAGAAGAAGGAATGGAAAAGATCAGAACTTCTAAAAAAACAAAATAGAGCTAGACAAAACATAAAAAAGCTTGAGAAGAAAATAAAAAAGCTAAAAAAACTGAGGCACAAAAAAAAGCAGCAAGTGACTCACTTCTTCAAGACAGAGGTTGAAGAAAATATTGGATAGTAAAGACATATATGGGATTAAGGTAGCATATGGAATGCTTCAGAATGCGATGTCGATTAGAGAGCAATTAAAATCATCTGATGTTGAGCCACTTCAAAAGAAACTCGATGATAAGAAATCATGTTTAATAACTTTTTTGTACAGTAAAACCAAAAGATTAAAGGAAATTGAAAATAATGATGATGGGTATTATGTCGTTGTTATTTTTTATTTTCTTTTTTATAGCATAAAGTGAAAAACTATGTAACTTAATTTAAAAATAGTTAATTAACTAGTCCTATTTTATGGAATAATTGTTTTTATTTTGAAAATTTATTTTTTTAGAAGATATCTGGAAGAAATCTTAATATATTTCTTAATTTATTCTCTAATGCGAATTAGTTCGAATCGAATCACAGTGGATTTGATTCGATTCGTTTTTGAATCTGAGAGATTCTCTCTCTCTCTCTCTCTCTCTCTCTCCCCCCCCCCCCCCCCCCCCCCCTATATCTGCTGCGACCAATCTTGTATCAGCGCTTATTAATCTTCATACAAGCGCGTGCGCTTATTGGCTAATTGTGAAAAAAACGCTTCATTTTTAAAATACTATTCATTTTGTTTAACCCAATGAAATAAAGGTATAAATTTAGCATAACAATTAGTTTTAAATTACAATAGGTTAAATTAAGTCACACTGAAAGAAACGTTTTGACGATATAATCATTCATTTTGTTGACCAACAAAATGTATGACTAACAAAAACTTTCTTACTTTGTCATTAAAAAATTGTATTGTCCTAACTAAAATTTACAACAATCAAATTTTGATTAGAAAAACAAATTTGGTTAGAATAACAAAAATTTTGGTAAAACGAATTTTTTAATGAAAGAGTAAGAAAGTTTTTGTCAAGTTTTAATCAAATATCAACAAAATGGATGGTTATATGTATTAGGTGTTGGAATTAATTCGTAGCGTTTTTTAATGAAAGAATGTTATTTATTTCACATGAGCATTAAAAAATACATTAATGAAAGTACTTCCAATCACTTGTAAAACGCTACGAATTAATTCCAACACCTAATACTAAATATTTCTCTGCAGAATAAATAATCATAAATAAATCCTTATATATAATATAAATAATCCCTATAAATAATCATAATAATTCCTTTAAAACAATATATTATAACCGCGATTATTATTTATTTACTTGTACGCATATGAAGATTTAAGTCTCTAATTTATCAATAATTTATCAATCAATGTTATGTTATATTTGTTTGATGTGATATTTTATGTAGACAGGATAGATACTAGAAACAGGATAATAAAAGTTAATTTAAAAGATAATTAAGTATTTTTAATAATGATCCAGATCTCTTTAAATAAACGAGAAAATGAGTTATTTTTAATGTGCAGGTTGTATTACCAGAAAGTATCATTTTTTAATATATTTATGTCAATTTTTTTATATACTTATACATTCAAAATGAATTTTTAAGTTTTTTTTAACTGTCAGTATGTGAAAATTTTATTTGAATTCGATTCGTTTCCGAATTAAAATTCGATTCGATTCGTTTTCAAGCATATTATCATACATTCAATTCGATTCGATTCAACTTTGCAAATGTTTAATTCGCATACCTCTAATATTTCTTGAAATATAGTGCAATATAGTTTGAATTTCATTTTCTTTAATGCGTTTGAGAAACAATCTAATTTCTGTTTTTGTAATGAAAGAATTTTTATTATTAGCTTGAATAAGTATTATGCATTTATCTAAAATTTATTTAGAAATATAATAAAAAAGTTTTTTAATTAATTTTAGATTCTACATATGTTACACCCTTACGAATTGAAATATAAATTTTGCAGGCTTTTATTATCAGATTAGTAATTTTAATTTCATAGACGATGTAATTTAAATGTAATTAGCATGTCATAGGTAAACTAATTTTTAACATCAAATTCTTAGAAATATTCATTTTTCACTTTCAGGAAGACACCTTTTTTTTAATCGATTCACAAACTTTTCTCACTTTTTCGAGAATGAAATTTTCATCATTACTTTTGGTACTTAGTCGCTTCCAAGCTGCATTATCTATATCTATAGTCATTTGCGCTGAATTAAACACAATATTGATTAATAGCTGTCAAGCTATTCTTAAGTTACTCAAAGAACTCCATTTCTGCTTGTTACAGAGAAACAACAATTTTGATTTATCTTTGAACGTTCCACAACATCATCAAACATCGTATCATCACGGCAGTTACAATATGTCGGACCAGGTGAGTAATCGGCGGCAATAATTTTCAATAACACTTTGTTTTACGAATACGTAAATAGTTCTTTTTAATGAATTTTTGTCTGTTAAACACGAATCTATCGATAAAATTTGGTTAGCACGTCATAGTTTTTAGAAAAATGGAGTCCGGGAGACGAAAAATGACAGTTTTGAAAATTTTTATGACATAACAGTACCAATTTTTTTCCTAAATTTTAGTGTGAAGTTGAAATGCAAACAAAAAATATGATATTATAGTTATAAGTATAAGAAAACAGCTATGTGTATAATATTATATTTTGAAATGTTTAGATGGTTTGTGAAGTTAGCATTCCTAAATGCGAATTTTAACAAAATTACATCACATTTGATTGTCCACTGTATTTATTCACATTTGTTCATAACAAAATTTTTTGTTCATTCTCGAAAAAAAATTATAAATAAATAAATTGTAACATCCCCATATGAATCTTCTTCCGAATTACATAAGGGATTTGGTTGTCCATCAAGCTTACACGTTTGTTCACGCGTAATTTTTTTTGTCCAACTTTTAAAAAAAAAATTATAAATAAATTAAAGTAAAACAATTCATCACTGACAAATTGCATGAACATATGGCGTATGTATGGTGGCCAATTGAATCCCGTATGTAATTAGAAAGTAAAGCACTTATGTATACAGTGACGAATTGTTTAAGTTTAATTTATTTATAACTTTATTTTGCAAGACGGACAAAAAACAATTACGCGTCGACAAACGCGTACGTATGATGGACAATCAAATCTTGTATGTAATTCGAAAGAATACTTACATGGAGCTGTTACAATTTTTTATTTATAATTTTTTTCGAAAGTGGACAAAAATTTTTTATTAACAAATGTGCATAAATAGTGGAATCAAATGCGATGTAGATTTTGTCAAAATTCGCATTTAGGGATGCCAGCTTCACAGACCTTTTAGATGATACTGAAATATGTAGAAGTAATCGAGTACTTAGGTATATTATTGGTGATAGATTTCTGTTTAAAGACAATTGCGATGCTAAAAAAATGTATTGGATGTTTGCTGCTGTTGATATAAGAGAAATACAACTGAGTTATTAAATTTTAGAAGGCGCAAAAAAGAATTTTACAATTTGTAAGTAACATTAATTGTTTTATTTTATATAATAAGTGTTATACATTTTCACTCCTTCATTGAACATACTTTTTTACGCACTTCTTGTTCTGCAAAATTTTATTACAATAATGTCGTGATCATCTTTCATTCTTATTTCCTATTATTTCTAATAGAAAGAAATGCATCGGATCGTAAAATTACCGAATACCGGATATCCGAACAGAATGTAACATTGGATATTCGATAGCCGATCGGATATCCGAGAAGATAATTTCTTTGAGTCGGATATTCAACATTTTGCGGATATCCGACTGGATTCTAAGAAAGTGTTTTCTAAAAAAAAAAGCCCTATAGAGAAAAAGATTGTAATTTTGCAACAATGTATAAGATAGCATCATAAATATGCATGCTTATACTCTAGAACATTTGCATAAAAAGAAATTTAATAATATTAAATTTTAACTGGATATATTCCCGAATACTAATGATATCCGGTCGGATAATAAAAAAAGTGCCGGATAATACCGGATACCGAGTACTTTCCGGATATCCGGTGATAATTTCTGACTTATTTCTCAACTGCTCTGGCAACATGTAAAATCTTAAAAATAAAAGTATACACATGGTGAAACATAGTCTCCGTTTTTATTAGAAAAATAATATGAAATGAGAGTGAAAGAAACAATCACGATAGGGGAATTGCAATAATTTTGCAAAACAAGAAATGCACAAAAGAGTACGTTTAATGAAGGAGTGAAAATGTATAACGCCTTATGAAATAAACACCATATGAAATAAAACAGTATGAGAGACTTGTGCTGTTTAAGTAAATGTTAAAAGAATATATATCATTTAATGCTGTTAAGTACATTTTATATTGTAAAATTTAGATTATTTAAGATTGTTTGCATAAGTTTTATTTTGAAATAATTGAGAAAGCTGATAAGGAGTCATTCTCTCTCTCTCTCTCTCTCTCTCTCTCTCTCTCTCGACACAAGGTCACAGCGTAGTTCAACAAAAACCATCTGTCTTCCTACTTATTACATATAACTTGGGAGTCACTGCACTTCTTTATTTCTAATCTTTAGATTTTTTAAAAGTATTAAAAGTATTCTTCGCGAAATCCTTGTTTCTATATTGAGAGAAAAATTTTAATAAATAATTGTTTGAATAGTACTAATATAATATTTTATTTACTTTATTTGTAAAATAAATATTTGTTAAACAGAATCTAATAATAGATAAATCAAATTAGTGATTCTTGTATCAAATAAATATATATTTACATTTAGTAAATATTCAACTGGCACTATTCGACCAAATATTTATTAAAATTTAGTTTTCTCTCAGTGTAATATTGTATTTTTAACAAATAAATAATAATTAAACTTTAATGGATAATTCGTAATGAAATAATATGTAATTTGTATATGTAAGCATAAAATAGAAATAAAATAAATAAAAGAAATAATAATTTAACAAATAAGTGGTTGCATAACTAGGAAAACCATCTAAATAATATTTCTTCAGAAGGAGAAGCAAGTTGCGAAAGTCGCGTGCAAGTTTTAACGAGTTGTCGGAACGAGTTTAGTTCACATCGAGGAAAAGAAAAACGACGAAAACAACAACGATGGCAGGAAGAACGATATTTCTTCGTTGTTCGTTTGCTTTTCTGTTCACCTTCACGTTTCACCCACAGTCTCGGGCCAATCGTATTATTTTCCTTATCTTTTTTCTTTCTTTAACTCTCCATTTACCTGCAATCTTATGTGATTGCGAATTTAATATCCAAGGATAGGAGAAATAAGTATGTATGTAATGAAAGATGGCTTTTATTAAGTAACGGTATACATTGAAGTGCTGTTAAACATTTAATTAACGATTATTCTGTTGAAATATCCGCATAGAAATTTTCTCAAAATCTTCTCAATTACAGCATAGATTACAATCAGAATGCCCAACTTTATCGCAAATTAGTATATCGCACTGAGATTTTAATTGGGAAATTTATTTTTAACCCAAATATGGATTTTATGTTTAGAATCGAAATAGAAAGAATACATAAGAATTTGTTTCTTCGTAATTAACATTGATATATCTGTGTGGAAAAAAGAGAGAATTCCCATTTTCATAATCGCTGCATACACACACAAACTTTATATATACATATACATGGTGTTTGGAAAATAAATCTTTTACATAAGGGTAGAATGGACTAAACTGAGAAGAAAAGTTCTCTACCATTTTGCAATTTTCGCAATAGTTAATAAGATATTAATTGCTAAACATTGCCAAAAATTGGTCTTCAATAATTTTTTATTCAAATACTATTAACTTTATAGAAAAATTGTAAGAGACAAAAATTGTTTTTCTTATAAAACTCTACGAATTTTTTTAGAATTTATCAACTTTTTAGTATAACATTTTCTCATTTTTAACAACTTGAGAAAATACAGTACTAAAAAATTCGGAAAAAATTAAAAAAAAATTTTAGACATCTATGAGGAGAAAATAAACAATTTTTGTCTCTTGTAGTTTTTCTGCAAAGTTGATAGTATTTAAGTAAAAAATTATTGAAAATTTTCGGCAATTTTTAATTAATATCTTGTTAACTATTGCGATAATTTCAAAATGGTACAGGACTTTTTTTCTCAGTTTAGTCCATTCTATTTAGCCCTTATGCGAAAGATTTATCATTATTTTCCAAACACACTGTATATATTTATCATAATTAATGATAAAACTCTCGCATACGGATAGAACTAAACTGAGTCGAAAGGTCTTCTACCATTTTATAATTTTCGTAATAATTATCAAGATATTAATTACGAGTACTATAAATAAAAATCGCTGCATATTGGTTTTCAATAATTTTTTTATTAAAGTACTAACAACTTCACAGAAAAATAGCAAGAGATAAAAATTGTGTTCTTCTCATAGAAAAATTTTATCAGAATTTTTTGTCAATTTTTTAGTACTACATTTTTTTATTGGGAACTATTTTTACCAACAGAGAAAATGTGGTACTAAAAAATTCTGAAAAAATTCTCAGAATTTGATAAGAAGAAAATAAACAATTTTTGTCTCTTGCTGTTTTTCTGTGAAGTTGATAGCACTTGAGTAAAAAAATTATTGAAAACCAATATGTGGCGATTTTTAGTAATTAATATCTTGATAATTATTTTTTGTAAAGTTGATAATATTTGAATAAAAAATTATTGAAAATCAATATTCGGTGATTTTTAGTAGTTGATATTTATTAACTATTACGAAAAATTGCAAGATGGTAAAAGACTTTTCGACTCAGTTTAGTCCATTCTGTCGCGAGAGTTAATTATCAGATCCTTTATAATACTATTATATTTATGTACAGAAAGAACGATTTAGCTGAAACGACAGGATACAGATCTAAAAATGATTATATTGTGATATCAAAATAATTATAAGATGCTTTAACATTATAATAAAATAAATGTTGTAAAAAATTTTGATATTTTAGAAATCTGATTTATTGTCTAATAATTATAACCATTTTCTATAATTTTAAAAAATTAAAAAAGAAAGTAAAAAATAAAATTGATACGTCCGTGCCGGGACTCGAAAGATAGTCGGCGCATCGTATGGAAATGAACAGATTGGGAGAGTGGCGGATTGTTTATCGGAGTAGGGAAAATCAGAATGGCGGCGAGTCTCAGGTCGAGCACAAATCATGAAACTGCAAACGCCATTGTATTATTGTATTAGTATAAAATATTCTTATAAAGATATTAAAATATTTTTAATATTTTTATTTCATTTTTTAGAGTTTATAAGCATTCTTAACTCACACAGTACACTTTATCCGAGGGATGTGCCTGGAGACATCTTTAGGACATAGAACATCCT